TATATAAAATCCAACGAAGAGAAAAGATATTTGTTTGAACCAATGTATTTTTTTTTTTTTGTATTCTTTGATTTTATGGATAAGCGACCAGTAGACGTCGTATACCTGATTTAATTTAGATTTAATTTATCATAATTTTAAGTTCACGGATTAACAAGAGAAGCAACATATCATTTAATTTTATTAACTTTCTGACATCGTGCGGCCTGGTCCCACGGTGTCTCTGTCTGTTTCCCCTTAGTATTTTCCATTTTTTTTTAAATATTTTCCTTAACATTATTATTTAAATGCGTCTCTATTCGTTCTGAAAACTAATCGTTGCTTAAATTTACGTTTTTTTCACTTACGCTATCTTTTGTGTTATCCGCTGTTCAACAGTTGTTCGCGGTGACTCGCTTTCGATTTTTTGAATCAGGACTGTTCAACTTAATACAAAGATTAATAAGAGTCTTGTACGTAAAATGATTCTAATGCAAACTTTATTGACATCAAGATTGAATAAGAATAAGAGAAAATTTATGGAGAGATAAATCAAAGTAACATGCAATATATGTATTATAATAAAAATTGAACTATTTTGTCATGAATTGTCCTGGGATAGATAATTTATTTTTATTATTGCAAAGATCGAGCTTTTTTAATAGAAAAATTAATGGTATGATAAAAGTTAATTTAAAATGCAATATTTAAAGAGGCTTCATCAAAGTTACAAGATTGTAAATATTCTAATTTGTATAAAAATGCGAATAATATTTTATAAAACTATAAAGTGTTAATAAGAATTACGAATAAAAAATATCTACGACTTTAACCCTGGATCATAAACAAGCAAGGTCCTTGGTGTTTTTTACAATGATACGAATTATATTATAATTCTATCTTTTATATATTATTTGTTTAATATTGAAATATAATAAATAATTGTATATTAATTTCAATTTTGAATTTATATAAAAAGAAATATGAAAATCTAGTAATTTTATATATTTTTACAAATTTTCAACGATTTTATGTATGAATCTTGTATAACACGGAAATATTTAACTATTATTTCTTTCTAATAATAATTTGTATTCCTCTTTACTGAAATTCTTTGTATTATAAAAATATTATAAAAATAAGATTATAACATAGTGCTAAGGAGGAATTTTCACATAAGGAAAATATAATTAAAAAATGTAGACAAGATAAAAAAATAAGTGCTTAAAACGATTATACTTTGGAAAAGTAAGGATGTGCGGATACTTGATTTGTATTTTGGATTCAAATTGGTTTTATTCGAGCTGAGTTTTCGAGAAAGTTTTTAACTACATATGATTTTTCAATCAGATTTTGTACTTTAAGTTTCAGGTTTAGAATCATTTTCATATTTTTTAATATAATCAAATGTAAAACATTACAAAGAAGAAAAATATTTTGTACCATATTCTCTGTGATATAATATTTTATTTTAAATTTAAATGAAGAAAACATAATTGCTCTGTGAAATTAATATCATTAAAAAGTAGAACAATTACGTCTTCTCCATTCAAAAATTAATTAATTTCTTACAATTAAAACTTAATTGATATCGAAAGATATTGTTTCACACACCATATGTAAAATATTTTTCTTCCTTGTAATCTGATTACACTCAAGAATATGAAAATCATTCTAAACCTAAAAGTTAAAATATAACATCAGATTGGAAAGTTGTGACAAAGTATATTTATACAATTAAAAACTTTCAAAATTCCAATCTGACTATAACTTTACCCACAAACTTTATAGATTACAACTCAAGTATCTGTACAGCCCTAAGAAAAACTGTTCCAAACAATGTATCAAAAATATTCGTAGAAAATTTTAATTGGAAAGTCAGTAGTTGAACAGATTTGTTCCAAGTGATCGATTAGTGCAATTATTGTTAATCTTTCGAGGATAGATGAAGAATTTGTAAATGTATAGATGTTAAATATTTCGCGTAAAAATTAGGTCTTTTGACGAACAATCGATAAATGAAGGAAAAAGAAGTGCCTGAGTCTAATAAGCTGCCGCTTTTTTCACGTGCATGTAACAAACTTGTAGGATTTTTTAATTACCAAAAAACAGATGCTTTACTAATATTCGATAGCATAATTTATAAAAAGAAAAACGAAGAATCCCTTAATAAGAAAAAATGATGAACGAAGAGACAAATTTTTATTGTCAAGCTTTTCCAAAAGGGTCTATATAAATATATATGTACGTATATTTATGTATACATTGTTGCATTTAGTGTTATATATTTTCAGAACGATCGTCAATCGTATTTTTATTTTATATACGTATATGCTTAGGTGTGTGCCATGATATATAAAATATTATATGTATAAATATAAATATTAAACGAAAAGAATTATACGATATAGATTCTCTACATATATTATATACGAAATATATATATATATATATATATATATATATATATATATATATAT